ATAGATAGATAGATAGATAGATAGATAGATAGATAGATAGATAGATACTTTATTGATCCCCAAGGGGAAATTCAAGACAGACTGACAGGCTTGGTTTAACCTGTAATACCACAGAAGCATGTATGACCTTTGACTTTTGGCAAAGGCCACACTGTCGGCCCCTTTTTGGGAAAAGATTCATGAAGCATGTCTCAAATTTCCCTTCGTCTCCAGTTGATTCAAGCAGGCAAAGGGGAGGCTCTGAGGATCAGGGCGATTCTGAGGTCTCTGGTGCCCATTGAGGACCTGGTGGGGGTCATCAGCCTGCCCGTGCAGATCCCTGCTTACGGGAAAGGTTAGAGATTCCTTTCTGGATTGGAGCTTTTTCAATCAAGCCGACCTGCGCTGATTTCTTTGTCCGTCCGACCCGCAGACGGTCAGATCATCGAGCCCAAGATGTCGGCCAGCTTCGTGCCGGACCACAAGGCCTCCATGGTGCTCTTCCTGGACAGAGTCTACGGCATAGAAAACCAGGACTTCCTGCTCCACGTGCTGGAGGTCGGCTTCCTGCCCGACATGAGAGCGTCGGCCTCTCTGGACACAGTGAGTAGCAACCCCTTAATGCTATAATGCTAACACCTTTCAAAAGCCTAACAGGGACGAAGGCTGCAAAGTAGCCCATGGCTGCAAGCCTTATGCACTTGGACATCGGCCATCTGTTTGGTTGCAATGTTTAATTGTACTGTCCCTGTCAAATAAATAAATAGATTTTAAAAAAAGGTGGAGAAGCCCCCCCCACAGGTCTGAGGCGCCCCGTGCTGGTTCCCTTACGCCTTTGGGTCTGACTACAGGTGGCCTTCAGCACGACGGAAATGGCCCTGGCGCTGAATCGCTACCTCTGCTCTGCGGTCCTGCCTCTGCTCACCAAGTGCGCCCCCCTGTTTGCCGGGACGGACCACCGGGCCATCATGATTGACTCCATGCTGCACACCATCTATCGCCTGTCCCGCGGCCGAGCCCTCACCAAGGCCCAGAGGGACGTCATAGAGGAGTGCCTCATGTCGCTCTGCAAGTCAGTGCCGGGAAACCACGGAAGAATGGCTTTAATTAAGCTTTAATTTAACTTTAATTTAGCTTTAATTTGCTGGGAAATTCCTCTTCTTCATGCACAGTGGTCCATTTAGTGGCCAGCTATTTAAAAGCCATTATCACTTTAGCTTTACTACGGTGCATCAAGCAAGAAAGATTAAATATGTCCACAAAAATATCCTGTTAAAGAGGAGCTGAGATAGACTGAAATGAATAAAGGGCTTGAAACATTCACTTAAAGTTCTTAAAAATTGCAGTGCACTTGAGTGGACATTGGAAAAATCCTTGGATAAAAGCTTTTTTTTAAAGAAAGTCTTTAAGAAAATCCAACACTTTTGGGAAAAATCCTTACTGAGATGATCCTAATTCATGCCTAGATGAAATATTTAAGATACATCCCTCTTCCTAACATGACACGTTTCTCCAGAATGAACAAATCATTGCTTATCTTTAACTAACGAAGCATTTTGCTGGCCGGGGCAGGTACCTGAGGCCCTCCATGCTGCAGCACCTGCTCAGGAGGCTGGTGTTCGACGTGCCCATCCTGAACGAATACGCCAAGATGCCACTGAAGGTTTGCCTGAGCTTTAATTGTACTCCAGATTTTTGTTGTCCAAGAGTGTCGGATTGCCTCTGTCAGGTGGCGGATCTTAGGGAGGACTCAGTTGCGGAGATGTGGTAAAAAAAAGGTTTAATTGACTAAAACGCACTCAAAAGGAGTGGTTGACCAGACAAAGTTAAAACAAGGCTGGCAAAACTATGAACAAATTATCAAAGCAAGATTAACATGACTGTGAACAAAGTATCAAAACAAGTAAACAAGACTATGACAAAAGTACTAAATAACGTAAACAAGACTATGGCAAAAACTACACTGTGCAAAATTCAAACTCTTACGTTGCGTGGACAAGACAAGGAACGAAAGCAAAGTGACACAAAATGATGAAAATGATGGCACAGGACAGGTAAAACGAGGACTATTTAAACACATGAGGGAAGGGAACCCCAGGTGTACACAACAGGTAATCAAGACATGACAACACACCAGAAATTCCCCCGGACGTGACAGCCTCGAAATGCGACGCGACTGAGGTGTCACCAGGAAGCTGTTCCCCTATGAGTCTGTTTTTATCTCAAATGTGCCTTCCAGCTGCTGACCAATCACTACGAGCGCTGCTGGAAGTACTATTGCCTGCCCAACGGATGGGCCAACTTTGGCGTGACCTCCGAGGAGGAGCTGCATCTGTCTCGGAAACTCTTTTGGGGAATCTTCGAATCATTGGCACACAAGGTGAGAGACGAGTCTTGTCCGATTTCACATGGAGAGAAAGGGAAGGAAACTCTTGGGCTGACATGGTCACGGCAGAAACCACGTGGAGAGGTGGTGAACTTTGAGCCTCAGCTAATCCTCTCATGTCGATTTAGAAATTTGATGCCGAGCTCTTCAAGATCGCCATGCCCTGCCTCTGTGCCATCGCCGGGGCCATCCCTCCAGACTACGTGGACGCCACCTACTCCTCTCACACTGAGAAAAAGGCCTCGGTGGATGCTGAAGGCAACTTCGACCCCAAACCGGTCGAGACCACTAAGTGAGTTCTGGGAGGACCCGCAGATAAAAAAAACGCAGAGCTAGTCAACTTCGAGGGGCTGCCACCGATTTATAAGATAGAAAAAATGTAACTTAAACTTAAACAGTCTAACTGTAATGTCATCTCACAGCACCATCATCCCAGAGAGACTGGATGCTTTCATCAACAAGTATGCAGAACACACTCATGACAAATGGGCTTTTGAGAAGGTCAGTCGGTCAGAAACAATGGATAAATGTGTCAAATTAAGCCCCTGTTTGGTATCAGGAAGCAGTATTTCTCACGGTCTCCCTGATGGTTGAATCTTTTTTTCAGATTCAGAACAATTGGACCTATGGAGAGGTGTTAGATGAGAATGGGAAGACCCACCCGATGCTGAGGCCCTATAAAACGTTCTCTGAGAAGGTTTCCCCCTCTTTGTGCCCTCATGTAACCTGAGCTAAGAGCCTGATTATGTTCTCACCCCGTCTTCTTTCCGGTTCCCAGGACAAGGAGATCTACCGTTGGCCCATTAAAGAGTCCATCAAAGCCATGCTGGCCTGGGAGTGGACTCTGGAGAAAGCCAGGGACAGCGAGGGGGAGGTGGAGAAGAAGGCTACGACACGCAAAATCTCCCAAACTGCCCAGGTACGAGACAGAGGAGAAGCATGGGGGAACTGAAATGCTGCTCTTATAGAGGTTCAGTAGACCTCTATAAGACCCAGATTCGTCACTTAACATGTGGATGTTGGGGCTCCATCAATCCTGGCTGGAGTGAAGGGCCCTGATGGAGAATGAGAAAGATTTAGGACATACTGAACCATTTTGGGCTTCTTTAAGAGCTAACAAGTGATGCGATCTTCTGTTTTACTGATGTGCATGCGGTTCGTTTGTTTGTCCTCAGGCCACTTATGACCCCAGTCATGGCTACAACCCTCAGCCAATAGACATCGCAGGGAATGCCCTGTCCAGAGAGCTGCAGGTAGGGATGTTTCTGTCAGTCTTCCACAGTCCTCAAAGCTCCCGTTGGTCCGATATTCTCCAGTAAAATCTGCAGGAAAGAGTGGGTTTGATGCCCTCACCCTCTCATTTTAGTCAATGGCTGAGCAGCTGGCAGAGAACTACCACAACACCTGGGGCAGGAAGAAGAAGGTGGAGCTACAAGCCAAAGGCAAGCAGTTGCTTCTGTTTGACTTGGGCTTCTGTTTTGAAGCCAAGACAAAACAAGTGTTGCTTTTCCTCCTCTAAGGTGGTGGCACCCATCCTTTGCTGGTGCCGTATGACACCCTGACGGCCAAGGAGAAGGCCAGGGACAGGGAGAAGGCCCAGGACCTGCTCAAATTCCTCCAGCTCAACGGATACGCCGTGACAAGGTGAGCAGGAGGTTTCTGTTTTGAGTTCTGTGCCTGTAAAGACTAGGGTTGTCAAAAGTATCGATACTCAAAAAAGTATCGACACTAAAATGTTGTATCCGGATACAATACTCATTTTCAAAAGTATCGATAATCTTTCAAACACTGAGTTAAACTCTATCCATAATGTTATGTTAAAATAGTGTATGTTAAATAGGTTTGTACAATACGTCCAAACAGGTTTAACCAAAAAGTATTTATTGCTAACAACTATGAAGGGTCAGGGTTAGGATTAGGGTCATTAAAGCGGCCACCAGTCACGATAACATCAGTATCAGGTCAGTTTGAAATGAAAGACACTAACCTGTCAAAATTCTGTCAAATTTTGGGGTCTTTGTTTTTATCCTTGCGGTATCGAAAATCGTATCGAGTATCAAGTATTTGCCTGAGTATCGGTATCGAGTTGAAAATTTTAGTATCGTGACAACCCTAGTAAAGACTACTCCTCTGAGAGTCGCTTCAGCTCTTTGCACACCTTTTCTGCGCCCACAGAGGAATGAAGGACATGGAGCAGGACATCTCCTCCATTGAGAAGCGATTTGCTTATGGATTCCTCCAGAAGCTTCTCAAGTGGATGGACATCGCGCAGGAATTCATCGCTCATCTCGGTACTGTGCTCGTCAGGGTTTGATCAGAGCTCGGATTCAGAGCTGGGAAACCTGTAAAACCCCAGGGGAGGAGCTGCAGAAGGTCCTGCTTTTAACCTAGTCATTCTTTCTCTCCTCCTTTCTCCCACAGAGGCTGTAGTCAGCAGCGGCCGGGTGGAAAAATCCCCACATGAGCAGGAGATCAAATTCTTTGCAAAGGTCAGTTACCTCATGCTTCACAGAATCGCTGTGTTGAAAATGAACCGTAAGCAGCCCTGACGACACCCCTTTGGTTTGCGGCCAATTTGGCACCACTGTGCTTTTTCCAATCTGGACCCACGATGAAAAAATGCCTGTTACAGCACCGCCTGTCCTCCATTTACCTCTAATTGGGAACAAAATGTAGAACCTGAGGATTTGAGTTGACCGACTATGATCCTGTTTGTCTCTTGAAGATTCTTCTGCCGCTGGTCAATCAGTACTTCAAGAACCACTGCCTGTACTTCCTCTCCACTCCCGCCAAAGTTCTGGGCAGTGGAGGCCACTCCTCCAATAAGGAGAAGGAGATGATTGCCAGGTAAGAGGCAGAAGCCCTGCTTCCTCTTTGCATCAGGCCTTGAACGTTTCCCAGTATCCTCCCCTTTGGTATTTTGTGAGGAACCAGTCTGTCCTCCTCTTGTGCCATGGCCCTCCATCTCTCTCTACCCGACTGTGCGGTATCTGTTAATTCCTTGACCTCCCTTTTGTTTTTGTGTGTACTTCAAACATTTTTACTGCCATTTCTCCCCTTACCTTCCTTCCTCCTCCCCTTTTCCTTTCCTGTTTTCTCCTCCTACTTCAGTATCTTCTGTAAGTTGGCTGCTTTGGTGAGGCACAGAGTCTCTCTTTTTGGTAAGACATTTGCATGGTGGCGTCACGCCCTGTCACCACCTCTGTCCCTCAGCGTCTGTTTTGTTTCTCTTTGTTTCTGCTGATCTGATTTGCCTCCTCTTCCTCCGTCCCTCCCCTTTACATTCTAACGAGCAGTTTCACATTTTGTCTGCCGTCATTTCCTGTCTCCACCTCACCGGGCCTACTTGTCTAATGCTTCTCTCTCTTCAGCTCAGCTCCTGCTTGGCTTTGATGTTTTGTTTTTCTTGTGAGTGGAAAGTTGCCGTTTTGCTTTTGAGGCAAAAGCTGGGTTTAACACATGGGCAACAGCATGAATATTTGCAGTGGCGTCAGATATCCACAGATGGCAGCCGGGCTTGCATAAGGCAGAAGCTCCTTTATCTTCAGTCTCTTCCACTTTACCACCATATGTCTTTAACAGTCACTCCCATGGACCCTGACGGAGAGAATTTACTCGGCTCATTTGTGGTACAGCCGAGGGGGAATCGCATAAAAATCTGGGGTCTTACAGCATTGTGGTAGTGCTGCATGTTAGGGATGCTCTACCAAAAGATAGAGAACATATTAGTGAAATCAAGCGCTGGACAAAGGTCTCGGGCCACCTCTCATTGAATAGGAGACACACTGGTCGTAATCTTTTGATCTAAAGCCGTTCTTCTCATAGCATTTTTGCTTATTTTCAGTCCGTCCCTGCTCATTTTCAGCATAATTTCCTCCCATTTCTTCAGCTGCATCAACAGAAAGTGATAACAGAGAATAGTATATGGTGCTGTGTAGAATATCTGCAGCCATGAGCTGATTCCCAAAGATCTCAGCAGATCTCAGCTGTTGAGCAGTGAGTCCTTAAAACATCTGAGGAAACTGGACCAGTGGAGGACAGAAGAAGAAGAAGAGCTGGGCCTGAAAAACTCTGTAATCCAGCAGATGAAGAGGATCTGAAAGTGATGAGAAAGAGGAGCAGATCCAGCAGAGAGCTGGACAGGAGCTGAGAGCTGCATCTGGACCTCCAGTTGACCAGCTCCTGGTGGCTGAATCAGAAATGCTCTCCATGAAGGGGGGCTGTAAGAAGCCATGAAGGAAGGAAACGGGGAGAAAAGGCTGAGCTCTGCCAGAGGAACCAGAAGTGGATGAACACCAGCAGCTCTGATGGAGGGATGAAGCCTCCAAGAACCCTGGAGAGCTTCTCCAGAAGACTTCTTACAGAAAAGACAAACAGCTTGCTGGAGAGGAAAGAGTTCAAAGCAAATATTTGTCACAGTACCTACGTTTTTATCAAGTGAATCTGGACAGAATGGTTTAAAAAAAACTTTACAAAAAAAAGTCTTCTTTTTCTCTAACTAGTTGTAAAACTAACTCTTTATTTAAAAAATTTGAGAAAAGGTGTCCACAGGTTACAAACCGTATCCCAAGTGAGCAGGTGAAGCTCAGAGAACAAGGAGCCGGCTCATTTCAAAGAACAGAAACTGTTTACCCACGGAAGGAAAAAATCTGCTGAAATAAAACCTTTGAAAAAAAGACTGAAGCAGTGTGGGATCATCTGACAGAGAACGGAGCCAAAGGCAGCCGGCATCCAAAGAAGTTTTCAGTCTCAAACGGCGTGTTTTTGTCTGCGTTTTTCATCCAATACTACTTAAAGAAGTTCAAAAAGAGCACTAAATCAGACTTAATGCTGACTTTTAAGCGCTGCCTCTGTTTTTTTCATTGCATTTCCATCTACGCTTGTACGCTTTAGCAGATCACACCACGTACTGCCCACTGTCACCCCAATATCTAAAGAAACGAGGGCGTGGCTCAAGACCCTTGAGAATCACACGGTTCAGTATTCGTTCAAAGGGAAGCGGTCTGTTTTGAATGGTTTGCTCAGTGTTGCTCAAAACACGACGTAACATCCCGTCTGCGTTTGAGCTCTGAAGCAGAAAGAACAGACGGAGATCAGTCAGTAATGCTGCTTTTTGTCTGCTCTCTTCAGGAACGGATTCAGGAGCCGTGGTCAACTGCCTGCACATCCTCTCCCGCTCGCTGGACGCCAGGTACCTCGTTCTGGGCCCCAAAGAGGCAGCAGACCAGGCAGAAACATGTCGGGTTTCTTCTAACCTGCTTTCCTCCCGCTCCGTCCTTTCCAAAGGACCGTCATGAAGTCGGGCCCTGAGATCGTGAAGGCGGGACTGCGCCAGTTCTTTGAGAGCGCCGCGGACGACATCGAGAAGATGGTGGAGAACCTGAAGCTGGGGAAAGTCTCCAGTCGAAACCAGGTGGATGGACAGTCAGAGATGATGCTTTTTTTTGCTCCGAACAACAGCCTGTAGTCTCTTAAAACAGGATTTCAGGCCTCCTGTTTACTGAAATCAGAAATATTATCCCTATAATACCAAATGTATCATATTTGATTCATACGGTTTCTGAAGTCTTTTGGATCTGAGACTTTTTGCATCATTCAGTGGTAAAAGCTTTGCTCAGACCCCTGTTGTACACATTCAGATATACTTGATAACAGCCAGTAGAAGACTACACCAAAATATATTTTTAACTTATTGCACGCTAATTTGATCAAAATAATTTGTGGGGTTTTTTTCTGTTGAGGGAGCAAAGAAAGACTTCAGACTAAAAAAATCCAATATTCTTCCTATTTTTCTTGTAACAGGCTTTAAAGGGTTATAATAATTTCCCTGTGGGATTATTAAAGTATTTCTGATTCTGATACTGAAGCGATGCAATGACGGCTTTGTCAAACAGAAACCTTCATAATTTCTCTATTTTCAGCCACCTGGTCTTTTTGATCCGCTGTGCTGCACAAACTGAGATGTATTAAGATGAAATGTCGCTTTGTTCACTCATATTTTCAATTCTATTAATGAAAAATAGCTTGAAAACCTTTAGAAAATCTTTCAAAAATGGAGTCCAGATTTTTATCTTATAACCATCACCTCCGTCATGGAGCACCTCTGAGTCAATTAGATTTTTTTTGGGTGGGAAAGCATCCTTTTCTCTTAACCGTAAAACAAAGATAAGGGACTTGTGGAGTGTTTTGTGTTAGGATGTGACTCCTGGTAGAGTTGAGGCTGGAAGCTTCAAAAACCGTTCAGTAAACAGGCGCCGAACTGGCCGTTTGATGGTCCTTATACTGCAGGATCTTAGCCGGAGGCCTTCGTATTTAAGCTACCTGTTCACAGAGAAAACCAAAGGCAAAGGAGGCTTGTTTTACCCGGGTTTCTGTGTTTCTCTAGGGCTGTAAGGGCGTGTCCCAGAACATCAACTACACCACCACCGCCCTGCTGCCCGTCCTCACCTCCCTGTTCGACCACATCGCTCAGCACCAGTTCGGAGATGATGTCATATGTGAGCGCCCCGCAGAGCACAGACCTCCTTCCTGCTTTTTTCTCGCTCGGTGTCAGATCTAAAACTCAAGCCATTCCCCTTCTTCTCTAACCCCTCCTCAGTGGATGACCTGCAAATATCCTGCTACCGCCTGATGTGCAGCATCTACTCTTTGGGAACGGTGAAAACTCCACATGTGGAGAAGTGAGTGTCCAGCAACTCTAATCCCCTCCTGTTGGTTCTAGTTTCCAGAAAAAAACAAATGAAAAGCCAGAGTGGCTTTTCATTTGTTAGCCCGATTCTTTAGTTGGAAGCCTGAGAATAAACCAGAGTAGATCAATAGTACAAACATGACATTTATTGGTCACAAGCAGAGTAAATCAGCTGGACTCTCACAGACAAAGTTCCCGGAGGATCTCAGTTAGGAAAGAGCCTGGATTTCCAGGTGTGATGGACAGTTTTCCTCTGGGTCTCCAACAGGAGGACGGCTGGACCTAACGGAGTGTTATTGGCCAGTTAGCTCTGACGTGAACAGGCCAGGTCCTAATTCATGCAGGTTTAGGTGGAATGTGATAAGAAAGTGTGGATGTTGAGCTTGAAGACGAGTATCTACTGTAACAGAGAGAGGAGGAGGAGGCACAGCCAGAGTTTAACCCAAAAGTAGAATCATAAAGGGAGTAATATAGGTCTAAAAAGGAATAAGACAATCAGTCCTTTACATGGATTAAGTTATAAGATACTGTGCTAAAGTGAGTAATTAGAGCCCAATTCTAACACATTCATTCCTTTTATTTGTTGGGTGGAAACATTAAGGAGGACTTTTATCTTTTTGTGTCCTGTCCAGACAGCGGCCGGCTCTTGGCGAATGTTTGGCCCACCTGGCGGCCGCCATGCCCGTGGCCTTCCTGGAGCCCGTTCTGAACGAGTACAACGCATTTTCCGTTTACACGACAAAGACTCCCAGAGAGAGATCCAGTGGGTGTTTTTTCTATCCGATAGATTAATCTGACTTCAGTCCTTCATGCAGAGATATACAGTAACAAAGTAGAACTACTTAAGTACTGTACTTAACTACCAAAATGCAGTATCTGTACTTTATTGGAGTATATATTTTTTGCTCTACTTTTACTTTTACTCAACTACTTATTTTTGATTAATTTAATACTTTTACTTTTACTTTCATGGGCTGCAATGTTCCTCGTTACTGATATGTAAACGTAATGATAGATAGCTCTGTCAGGGTTTGGGAAGCTGGCTCCTTATTGGACGATTTGAGCCATCAAGCATGGCCTATTAAAAAAACCCTCCCAAAAGATTGCGAAATCCTGGCCTTCAAAAATTCCCCATCTAATCTGACGAAGCATTTCAAGCTAAGTAAAAAAATACAATGACATATAAGCTAGTAAGTAAGCGCTAGTTCAGTTCTCCCTGTTCACTCAGGACGTAGCAGCTAACGTTAGCTAAAGCTAAGCTAGCTGCCTAGCTGAATGCTACATGCTAGCATAAAGACTCAGCTCAGGATTCTGACTCTGGAATAATAATGAATAGTATTTAAGTGCTGTTGATTGCTAATGCAGATGTAGTTTTCTGTTTTTTGTAAACACCTGTATGGCCTTTCACACGTTTGAAATAATATAAAAAATATCTATCAAACCTTTGACTGCCTTTTTAAAAATATACTAGTACTTGTACTTTTACTTATACTTGTACTTTCGATACTTGAGTAGCAATTTTTGAAATACTTCTACTTGCAATACTAAAGTCCAAAAAAAATGGAGTACTTCCGTACTTCAACTTAAGTATGGTGTTGAAAGAACACTTCAACTTTTACTCAAGTCAATTTTTTTATATAGTACTTGCACTTCTACTCCAGTACTTTAAACATCTCTGGTTTTTCATCCCTCCTCTCCCAGTTCTGGGTCTTCCCAACCAGGTGGAGGAGCTGTGCACGGACATCCCGGAGCTGGAGATCCTGATGAAGGAGATCCACGACCTGGCCGAGTCCGGGGCCCGCTACACGGAGATGCCCCACGTGATCGAGATCACTCTGCCCATGCTGTGCAACTACCTGCCCCGCTGGTGGGAGAGGGGCCCCGAGAGCCTCCCCGAGCAGGAGGGCCAGGTCTGCACCGCCGTCACCTCCGAGCAGCTCAACCAGCTGCTGGGCAGCATCATGAAGATCGTGGTCAACAACCTGGGCATCGACGAGGCCTCCTGGATGAAGAGGCTGGCAGGTCAGTGAGCGGATCCGAACTTTTTTGCCTTTTTTGCCTTATCCCTATAATGCCAAATGTGTCATATTTGATAAGGTCTCTGAGGTCTGTTGGATCTGAGACTTTTTGCATCATTTAGTGGTAAAAGCTTTGCTCAAACCCCTGTTGTACACATTCAGATATACCTGATAACAGCCAGTAGAAGACTACACCAAAATACATTTTTGACTTATTGCGCGCTAATTTGATCAAAATAGAAAGACTTCAGACTAAAAAAATCCAATATTCTTCCTATTTTTCTTGGATCAGGCTTTAAAGGGTTAAATGCAGATTAACAGGCACTTTGCATCATAAAAAAGAACAGAAAGACAGAGACAGGCAACCATAAAAGGTAAATAAATAAATAATAATAAATAAATAAATTGAAATTGACAGGAAAAAATAAATAACAATAAAAAAATTAAACAGAAATTGGGTAATGAAATAAAATGAAATGGAGTGCATGACAGACAAAGTTTAAACAAGGCAGGCAAAAGTATGAACAAAGTATCAAAGCAAGATTAACAAAACTGTGCATAAAGTCCAAAATGCAATGGAAAAAACGAGACTGTAACAAAGTACAAAATCAAAAACTCTTACGAGGCGTGAACAAGACGAGGAAAGAAAAGACAAAAGCACAAAACACACTGGCACAGGACAAGGGGAAATGAGGACTATTTAAACATAAGAGGGAGGGGAACCCCAGGTGTACACAATAGGTAATCAAGGAGACATGACAACACACTAGAAATTCCCCCAGACGGGACACAAACACTACGAGGAGATACACAAAACTAACGAAAACAAACAGCAAAAAATACGGTGGAAAAACCCGAGGGAGAACCATTAGGAGCAAACAAACACAACAAAACTAACAAAAACAAACAGCAAAACATACTGTGGAAAAACCCGAGGGAGAACCTGCAAACAAACACAAGGAAGAGACACACAAACAATAATTTTCTTGTTTTGTTTCTCCCTCCAGTCTTCGCCCAGCCCATCGTGAGCCGGGCCAAACCGGAGATGCTGAAGTCCCACTTCATCCCCACCATGGAGAAGCTGAAGAAGCGCGCGGGGAAGGTGGTGGCGGAGGAGGAGCACCTGCGCATGGAGGGCAAGAGCGAGGTGGACAGCGAGGAGGGGACCATCCGGGACGAGTTCGCCGTGCTGTGCCGGGACCTGTACGCTCTTTACCCGCTGCTCATCCGCTACGTGGACAACAGCAGGTCCCCAACCGCTCGCCAACCGCCATTAAAGCTGGACCGGGAGGATCCAGGGAGCCTAAACAGAGTCCCTGTCTCTGTCCACAGGGCCCGGTGGCTGACCTGTCCAGACCCAGACGCAGAGGAGCTCTTCAGGATGGTGGGGGAGGTGTTCATCTTCTGGTCCAAATCACATGCAAGTATCGTTTGGTCTTCGGTGGACGGTTTTGTGGAGTTTCGCTTTCTTTTTGGGACACCTGGAGCGTGGACTTTCTCCAGTTTGTTGTCATCAGATGACAGGAATTTAGATTATAGTTAAAACTAAAGGCAAAACGAAAGCTTTTCTTTTTCAAATGACATTAAATCTATCATTCAGTTTAAGACGTTTGGATCGTTTTTATTTCTTTATGATGGAGCGGTTTTGTGTTTTTTCCAGCATTTGGTTTTGTGGTGTTTTGCTTTCTTTTTGGGACACGTGGAGCGTGGACTTTCTCCAGTTTGTTGGCATCAGATGACAGGAAATTAGATTATAGTCAGACTAAAAGCAAAACAAAAGCAAAAATAGCTGTTTCACATTGCTCGAACTTTCATTTTTCAAATGACATGAAAACTATCATTCAGTGTAAGATCTTTTTATTTCTTTATGATGGAGCAGTTTTGTGTATTTTCCAGCATTTGAAACAAGGAAAGAAATGATTTTTTCATAAATTTACCTTCATCATGTTGGAAAAGACATCATCATCTTCATAACAAGCTTAATATTTACACGTAAAGGCCAACAGGGAAATTACGTTAAAGCTTCCCAAGGATTCATTTCCAGTTCTTAAACTAATAAATATTGCAATATAACATCTGGACTCTGATGAAAGGAAAAAAGCGTCTTTACCTGTTGGTCTGTGTCTTTCTGTTGCAGAACTTCAAGCGGGAGGAGCAGAACTTTGTGGTGATGAATGAGATCAACAACATGTCCTTCCTCACCGCCGACAGCAAGAGCAAGATGAGCAAGGTGAGAGAGGGGGAGCGGGCCTCCGGTTGGCCTGTTTTCAGCCAGAACTAAACCCTAATGATTAATATCCCACTAACGCCACTCTGAGTGGATTTGGGTTTAATCTCAATCTAGGTTCATTTCCACCATTTCTTCTCAGTAAGCCGTAATAATATAATACGAGTCATCTTAAAATAGCGATGTAACCCCACCATGAGCCTCACCTGTCATGGCTCTGACCAGCAGGGTTTGGTGGGCGGGTTCCCCTGTTGCTAACTGTGTTTTCTCCCCATGTCCTGTGTCGGGGGTCGGACGCGGGGCCGCTAGGCCGGAGACGGAGAGGTTAGCCTAGCCTGTGTTTGTGCACGAGAGCTGTGCTGACCGCATGGCAACCCCCGAGTTAAACGGCATTTCATCAGGCGCTCCCGCCCCCCCCCCCTCCACCCTGGGGGTCTGATTGTTGGGGGTCCCGGGAGGCCTGATGAAAGCTCTGTGCTGTAGATGGTAGCGGCCTTTGGAGGCCCAGTGGTGCTCGGCTGAGCGGGCGCCATCGCCTCGTCTCTGATTGGAGCTGCTGTGTCCAATCCAAATAATATAAACTTTATTTCTATAGCTCCACATCCCAACAGCAGGTATCTCCAAGCTTTTCCAAACAGAGCAGCTCAGACCGGACTCCGAAGTTATTTACAGAAGAACAACAATTCCCACCATGAGCAAGCACTAGGCGACACAGGGAAGCAAAAACTTAATTTAGGAGGAAGAAACCGGG